ATGTAAATAGTAGGCTACATCCATATTAATCTAGATGAAAATGCATATTTTTCTCAATGTTTTGGCCTTCTATCCACACTGAGACAATGCTTTTGCCCAGAGAAAACCTGCAGTCATTCCTGCATTGTTGTTTTATATGACATTCCTGCAAGTATGACAGAAAATGTACTTGACATCTCTGTCCTGTGGCAATTATGTATTAGATTCATAGATGGAATAGCGTTTGAGTGTGAGCTGCACTATAAGAAAACAATATCCACCGAAAAACTGAAAAGTTTTTATTTCAAGTTTATTATTTTTAATAGCAATTTTAATGTAATATTGAATATTAATTATTTTTTGTTATTTATATCTTATCTCATAACCCGTCCTCTACCCCTAAACATAACCCTAACAAAAACCTCTGCAGACCACTAGATTTAAATAGAGGTCAGTTAGCAGTGAGGTCAGCTCACTAGTCAATGTTCAACACTTTCACTATATCAGTGTGAGCATTAACACCTCACATGTGTAGTCAAACCTGTATACTTATATAATGGATACTCATTCCTGTTACCCTGTTTCATTCCTGTTACTAAATAGTTTTTTCTTTAAAAAATTGTCAGGGATAGTCCAGCCTCGTCAGGCCCAATCACCTCACACACCCGTTCACAATCACCGGAGTACTGATCAGCCGCACCTGTCACCACCTCATCAACACTAGCTCAAATACACAGTCACTGCAGTTGCACTTTGTCTGGTCTTGAGTTCACTACACTACTCCTTACCTGACTCACAAACCTGGACTCCAACCTGGTACCCACCTGTCTCTTCGAAGTCATCTTCAGTCCGATCCTGGAAAGAACCCGTCACCACGTGAGGTAGATCCCTGCAGTTACTAAGACTGTTGCCTTAACCCATTTGTTCTCCATCTCTTCCCTCAGCACCCCTGTTCAATAAAGAACTCTGTTAACCTTATCTCTCCGTCCTGGGTCTCCTTCTGTACTGTGACAGAAGACCAGACCGCCCCAAAAACTACATGGCGCCACAACCACAGAACCCCACTTCACTGGAGCATTTAATTCAAGCCTTCCGAACACCCGTTGTGTCTGCCTCCCACAGTCCCATGGCACGGCCCGCTATCTTCTCCGGTGAGGCGGAGGATTGTGGTGGCTTCCTGTTACAATGTTCCCTATACTTCGAGATGCAGTCACAAGCCTTTCCCAACGACCGCGCCAAAGTCGCCTTCATGATCTCTCATCTCGCCGGCCATGTGGGAGAGTAACAGTCAGGCCATTCGCACTCTATCTACTTTTACATCCCACTTCAAGGTCTCCCGGGTCTGGGAGGGTCTGGGACTCAGCGCATGTCCATCTCCAGCAAGCGGTTCGGAGACACCAAGCCCAAGCCGATGTTCACCACCGACCTACTCCACGATACCAGCTGGGAGATAAGGTGTGGTTATCCACGTGGGACATTCGTCTCCGACTGCCTTGCCGCAAGCTGAGTCCCCGCTATATCGGACCATTCACCATCCGGAGGCAGATCAACGAAGTCACATACAGGCTTGAACTTCCTCCTCACTACCGCATCGCACCTACCTTCCATGTCTCACTGCTCAAACCCTGTGTTCACCCTCTGTCTGCTTCTTCCCCAGGGCCTGACGAATCCGGCGTACCTCCTCCTCCCGAAATCGCTGAAGATGAAACCATCTACAGAGTCAATTCGCTTCTGGACTCCCGGCGTCGAGGCGGCCGCCTGGAATATCTCGTGGACTGGCAGGGATTCGGCCCCAAGGAGAGATCATGGGTGCGTAGAGACGATGTTCTAGATCCCTTACTCCTCTGAGACTTTCATGATCGTCACCCAGATCGTCCCGCTCTCCGGGGCTGCGGCCGTCCTCGACGTTGGCAGCGGGCGTTGGGAGCCGCCCGTGGCGGGGGGGTGTACTGTCAGGGATAGTCCAGCCTCGTCAGGCCCAATCACCTCACACACCCGTTCACAATCACCAGAGTACTGATCAGCCGCACCTGTCACCACCTCATCAACACTAGCTCAAATACACAGTCACTGCAGTTGCACTTTGTCTGGTCTTGAGTTCACTACGCTACTCCTTACCTGACTCACGAACCCGGACTCCAACCTGGTACCCACCTGTCTCTTCGAAGTCATCTTCAGTCCGATCCTGGAAAGAACCCGTCACCACGTGAGCTAGATCCCTGCAGTTACTAAGACTGTTGCCTTAACCCATTTGCTCTCCATCTCTTCCCTCAGCACCCCTGTTCAATAAAGAACTCTGTTAACCTTATCTCTCCATCCTGGGTCTCCTTCTGTACTGTGACAAAAATAAAGTTAAACCACTATTTTTTTTTATTAAGTTTGGTCCATAATTTATCCCATTGTTTAATAAATTGCATCAATAGAAAATTGATAAGCTTGAGGTTTGAATCACCTTTTAAATGAAAAAATGGGGTTGTGTACTTTAGAAAAATACACCTTGTGTAGACAAATAGTGATTTTTTTTAATGGTAAAAATAATATTTTTTGACCATGAAACCAACAATTTATTTAAGATAAAACATCTGCCTGAGGGGAAAATGAAGGAATTTGTTGACATATTTTTAAACATGCTTTTTAAAAGACAGAGTTTTGGTAACAGGACTGAGAAAAATGCATCCATCTTCCACTTAAAAATTGTGTAAAAAATTAAATAAAGTTACCTGAGATGGACCAATACATATTTTGAATATTTAAATATGTGTATTACTAGATTCAGTCTTTAAAAAAATATAGAAAAATTTAAAAAAAAATTGGAAGCAAATGGCACCTATTCGGTGGAATGGCCCACAAATCTACAAACATATTCAGGTGAGCTAACCGGTTTACTGCTAACAATTGAAACACTCAAGCTGCACCTCAAAATACATGTTAGATGGAAACACTGTGCATTATGATCGAGTTTGTAGATTAATTCACTAAATAGTTTGACCACTGCAATTCAATTGGTGACAGTTCAATAGGAAATCAGTTGAGAGCATCCATACAATTGAAGTGAATGTTAAATTTATCAGTTTATATTGTAATAAATAGGGTTGCAAAAAGGTGGAAAATTTCCAGTAAATTTCGGAAATATTCCAGAAATTTGGGAAACTTTCCAGGATTTTTTGGAATATTCAAGGGATTTTTGGAAAGTTTCCAGAAATTTACCAGAAATTTTCCACCCCTTTGTAACCCTACAATTTATGTCCTACTAATGATATTGTTTTAGATACAGAGCATTAGTTTGTAGTTTACAGTAACATGTATATTGGTACATATAAAAGTGTTACATTTATAATTACTATCCCCCACCTCCAGTTCACTCGTGCATTTGAAGATGAAACGTCACATGGAGCGCATTGTTTGGAAATTTACCGGAAATTTTCCACCCCTTTGCAACCCTAGTAATAAATATGAGATTTTTTTTCTGGTTGTATTAGTCTATATAGAGTGCTAGTCAATGTAAAAAGAGCAAATGGAAGAAGCAGATGAACACAAAACAGCTATAAGGATGAAGGTTTGATTTTGACATTGTAGGGACACAACTTTTTTTGTGGATATTTCAGCTAACAGTTTGCTTTGTACATTCAGTTTAACAACACAAAGTTAAAGAGGGTAAACTTTATCATTCAGTGGAACTGTGCACATACTGTATGTTTTAAACACTTCCTTTTATGTTCTTATTCCACACATGTATGTTTTTGAAAGTGTGCGGTTTTATAGCGTATTTGTTACTTCTCAGGTAATATCAATAGTATGACCTATTTCAGATGCGGCAGAAATTACAACAACAGTGGTTACATGTACACATATTTAATTGTTTGATCAAAATGATTGCTATAGGGACAATTTAGTAGTTGCTGGATATTGGTAGGGACACGTCCCTAGCGTCCCTACTAAATTCTACGCTCACTCTCATGTTCTTCCAAACACTTATGACTATCTTTCATATGAGTTTCAAAAGTTACATGAGGTCGAGTAAATGACGGCACATTGTTATGTCTTTAATGGTCAGCAGGCCTCACGTGAGGTTAGCGTGAGGGTCTCAGAGATATCACATCTCTCAGAGAAGCGTTCATGACAGTTATGAGAGCGGCCATGAGTCTGCCATGAGGACAATAGCAGCTCTGTTCTGCCTCCCTCTGTCAGCAGCTCTCTTAATATACACATACTTGAAGGTAGCACACCTAACAAATCCTCCTCAAGCACTTCCACAAATGCTGGAACTATATAGCCAACATAGCTACATTTACTTTCCAAGAATGCATATGTCTGTGAGAGAATGTGTCTAGATGCTTCTGGAGCAGCAAATCGGCAAATTAGAATGATTTCTGAAGGATCATGTGACACTGAAGACTGGCGTAATGATGCAAAAAAATTCAGCTTTGATCAGAGGAATAAATTACATTTTAAAATATATTACAGTACAAAACAGTAAATTTAAATTGTAATAATATTTCATAATATTACTGTTTTTATTGTATTTTAAATTAAATAAATGCAGCTTTGGTGAGCAGAAAAGGCTTCTTTCAGAAACACACACAAATTACCAACCCCAAATTTTGGGGTTTATAAATATTTAAATAAATGTGGAAGAATAATGAAGAATTAAGACTCTGGGAAGGTCTCGGCCCCCTGAGGCTCTAGAAATCTGATCCAGACTCTGATCTCTCTGTCTGTCGGCTGTGACACACATTAGTGCTGACAAGGGTCCTCCAGCAAACCCCTCTCCAGCCCCAAACCCGTGATCTCGCACACACACACACACACACACACACACACACACACACACACACACACACACAGCTGGGAGAGTGCGCCTGCGCGGGAAAACACCAGCACGAAGAGCACACTGCACTCACAATAAGTGCCTAGAATGCCATGCATCTTTTGTCACATGTTAATTGTTTTCCAAATTTTTGCTGCCCTGTAGGCGGTCCTGACACACGCCCTCTTTGGAAATATCAGACTTAACAAAGCAATTTATAAAAACTGGGCTGAACTTTAATAACCGAATAAGTTGGAATAATAATATATGGTGCTCAATTTGACTGACATTATGTTAAATAAATACTTGTGATTTCTATGGATCTATTAAAGTGATTCAGAAGTTTTGCACTTTAAGTGGAATTCAAATTGGCTTTGTAGGTTCCAGTGATTGAAATAAGCAGACGACGGTTCATTGAATTCACAATCAGATAGTGTATGATTACATAAATAAATTCTTTTCACATGCAAACGCGCATGATGTTTGCTTTGTCCCGGTGAAAAGGCATCTTAATGCAACGGCTTTAATGCACAATGCATATAAATTGCGATGCAATATGAGTAGTGTTAGTATAGTTAACATATTTTACCTTTGAACATGCACATAAAAAAGGGAGTTTATCTTCAATGCAGGATTACATTTTCACTTTCACTTTTCCATCTCATGCCACACCACACAACTCGTTTCTCTGCGAAAAACAACACAAGTTCCTCCCTCCGGTCATAAACAACATGTAGCACTTGCTTAACAGGGAAATCGTTACACTTACTTCTGCTCTCACTAAACGCATGGGGATTCAGATTATTATTTGATAGTTGCTTCAAATTTGGGCCTTGCAGGTCAGCATAATACCTCCCAACTTTGGTAAATATGTTCTTATGTGCATGACTGCCAATGGTTTTGGCACAGATGAGCGATCAAAACAAAGGCAGGGTTTTATTTGGCCTTCTCGGGTGCCACAGGGTCCGTTTGCACTCCGGCATCAGAATGGCGTTTTTGGCCCTGTGAGACACACCAACGCATAACGCAACATTAGTGATCCTAACTTAGCAAGAAAGTGTGTGTTTTTTACTGCTCGTCTGTAAGGGTGCCTGAAGCAAAACCCGTCTGACAACTGGGCTTTTATTTGCAAAAGCGGATCTTGCTCCAACACGTCTTTAAAGCGCAGCTTTGGTGAATTTGTGTGCTTTACTATCTGAGATCATTTAGTTGTTATCACACGTTTGTCCGAGATAATTGACAGGGATGATCCTGCTCGAAATAACCATAATTGTGGATAGATACATTTATATTACATGACAAAAAGTATTTTTTTATTTATGAAGAGGTTATATATCGCAACAAAGATTAAAATTACATGTTTAGATGATGAGATTGAGATTTCATGCAATAAAAAAAATGACATGCTAAATTTTAGTGTCCAGTTTAATTAAATAATTAAAAATATTTATTACATTTTATTAAAACGCAACCCAAATAAACTGCTATGGAATTGATCGAATAATCTAGATAGGTTGGTAATTGAGGCCATCTAGTGGTCATACACTGTAAATATTGATTTTTGTATTTTAATTCCTCACCTCAAAGATCACTGTTTTAAGATTAATAGCCAGCAATATCGAAATAATCAGGATGGTTACAGAATTACAAAACGCTTCTCGACAGCATTTAACTGGCAAACTACATGCAACTGAAGAGTTAAAGTACACAGATTGCGAATGCTCACACAGTTGTGTGGGTGGAATCCCTAGCCCTGGAGAATCTCTGGGTTTCTACTTAACCAGGTTCTTGAAGAACAGCTGGAGGGAGTTCCTCTTCTCCAGCTTGTGGGGCATGTTGGGGGAGGTGTTCTCTGTGCTATCGGCTGATTTGTTGTCTGGGGCCGCTTGCGGTGCAGGAGCGGTGGGTCTCGGCTCCTCTTTGGCCTTCGCGGGTGGAGCGGCTTCTGCCACGGGAGGAGCAGCTGGAGTCTCCTTCTTGGACTCTGGTGCCTTGTGTTGCGAGAAACGAACGGCGGTTAATGAGATGATTTTTTTTATTCTTGTGCACATTATATTTTAGATTTTGTACACTCTTGTTCAAAAGTTTGGAGTCAGTAAGTTGATGCTTTTATTCAGCAAGAATGCATTAAATTGATCAAAAGAGAGCATTGGCATTTATAATGTTACAAAAAATTCCACTTAAAATAATTGTTCTTTTAAACTTTACAATTGTCAAAGAATCCTAAAAAAGTTTTAAAACTGTTTTCAGCATTGAAAATAATTAAAGATGTTATTTTAGCACCACATAAGGATATTAGAATGATTTAAGTTGTTTTAAATTGTAATCATATTTCATAATATTACTGTAATGTTGATCAAGTAAATGCAGCCTTAGTGAGCATAAGAGACTTCTTTTAAAACCACTATAACATTTTGTCCCCAAACTTTTGAATGGTGGTGTACACACACACACACACACACACACACACACACACACAAAATATATTAATATATTAAGGAAGTCATAAAAATTACAAGTAATCAAATAAAGTAAAAAGTGAACAAATAAATTAACCCACTTCTCAAATGAACGGAAAAAGGAAAGAAAGAAAGAAAGAAAGAAAGAAAGAAAGAAAGAAAGAAAGAAAGAAAGAAAAGGAAGGACGGAAGGAATGAAGGAAGGAATGGAGTTTGAAAGTAAGTTTGAAAGTTTTGAAATTTTGAAAGAAAAGA